TCACCGTGGTAAGACGGTATTCACAGACCTCGCTTTCGGGATCAGCACGCTAAAGGACACGGAGCCAGTCGCGGTCGAGAGGGTTGACCACGATCTGGCGAAACATCTTGACGATGTCTGCAGAAACGGCATATTTGAATACGCGCCAGCGGGTCAAAATCACTCAAAGATCTTGTTGGAGTTTGGGACCAACGTGTAGTGCGTCATTCAGAGTGACGCCTGAAAAAGTTGCACAGGAGGCGTTGAAGACCATCCGAATTTTCTTTTCGGGGAAAAGTTTTCACACGGCGTGATGCAGAAGGTAGAAGCAGGAGTTAGAAACCTTAGGTTCGTTCGGAGCCCGTTCCATATGTCCTAAGTGATGATATTCGGACATGAACTGCTGATACTCTTTGCGTAGCATCACGTCGCGGGACTGACGTCGCTCCGAACTGAGAAGAGTGCGGAGGGCTACCCCTCTAGACCGACCGAGGAAGACAGGTGAGAGTCCTTTAAAAGGTAAGCGTACGACATACCGACCTTGTTCATTTCGGAAGGTTGTATCGGTGAAGAATCGTTCACATTCTCGCTCTTCTTCAAAGAACGGAGTTTTTTCCGTAAGCTGCTCCAGCTCCCAAAACCGCTGCAAGTCTGGAAAGGCAGAAGACTCCGTAGCGCCCTGGAGGAGTCCCAGCGAAGAAAATGTGGGAGAGGAGCGCAAGGATGGCACAGATCCCATGAGAACCCAGCTAAACGGGGTTCGGAAGGCTACGGGGGTGCCGGGAGAACCGACTAGCTTTTCCTCGAACAAAAGACCACAGACGTCTGCACCCAAGAGACGATCGACTCGGGATGGCTTGCAGAAGTCTGAATCGGCCAGAGGTAGGCCGGAAATATGAGGCCAAGAAATCTCTGAGATCTCCCTAGAGGGAGTAGGGGCCGTCAAACTCGGCACCACCAAAGCTTCGATTGGGAGTGAGAAGGTCGCGCTAAAAGCGTGAAGAGAACAGCTAACGGTATGTCGCACCTTTCCTAAAGTTTTCCCTTGTACTCCAACCATTCTTACATTAACCGATGACCGTTTTAACTGCAAGGCCTGAGCAATCCATTCGCTGATAAAGGAGGAATCAGCCCCCGTGTCCAACAAGGCTCTCACCTGCACCCTATGACCCTTGGAAGAGACCAGCGAGACGCGAGCCGTAGCCAATAGAGTAGCCAGTCAAGAGCTGGCATTCGCAAAACGAGAGGCGGCCCCCGAGGAAGAGAGAAAATTCAGAACCGGTGCGTTAGGATCCGGGCGGTGGCTGGAATCCTCGTGGAACGCTCGATGTAGCGTCGAGTGATGCGTTCCCTCGCAAGCCAGGCAGCGATTGGTGGATGGGCAGGACGACGACGTGTGACCTGGGAACAAACAAGAAAGATAGACGCCTGTCGTGAGGACTCAGACGTCGGAAACCGGGGCAGGCGCCCAGTGAATGAGAGCCAGAGCACGAAGGGCAGGAAAGTCTGGCCCTTTTGTTCGCCTTCCTCGACAACGTCGTCTTCTGATGTACCATTGCCTTGGTACAAGGAGCAGAAGTCGGAGTCCGTGGACTTGTCGTGGCTGGCTGGGACTGGCCAGTGATCTCATGCCCCCTCTGCTCCTGAACGGCGAGCGCCTGCACACGATTCTCAAGGAAGTCCACCAGCTGTTGATAGGCAGGCGTTTCGGTCGGGTCCGGTAATGCAGTCTCCAACGCCAGGCTAGTCGTCTTATCTAGTTTACTGGTAAGTAGGAATAAAAACCATTCGTCCCAGTTCTCTACCGACTTCCCTAAAGATATAAATGACTCGCGATGTTGGTAAAATTTATCTAGGAGTCGTTTGAGCTCACGGGGATGATCTTCTTCGGCGGGGGGATATTCCAGAAGACAACACATGTGGAAATTGGAGAGTACGCGACGATTTCCGAACCGCCGTTCTAGTGCTGCCCAAGCTCCATCGTAATTGGCTGCCGTTAGTGCCAAATTTTTGAACATTTTGGCAGCGTCTCCCGAAAGACAGGATTTAAGTAACTGGAGCTTACGTACCTTTGGGAGACGCGCCGACCATGTACCAACGCTTTGAACTGGTCTCTGAAGCTTTCCCAGTCGAGAAGGTCACCAGAAAAGCGGGGGAGACACGCCTGAGGCAACACGGCCTCCACGTCGTCGGACGAGGTCGTTGCTGGTTTGGAACCGTCTTCGTTGCTCGGGATTGACAGCTCCTTGACCCACCGCGTCAACTTCAAAGCGTGGCCTTGGTAGCGTTCCTCCACCACCTCGTAGGTATCGTCGGTCACGTACTTGGTCGTGTCGATCTCTGGACGACCGATCAGAGCGTAATGCGTGTCCTCAAATTTGTCCCAATAGCGATCTAATAGCACGCGTCGACTTTGCAGGAAATCCACGTCGATCTTGTTCGACTTTCCCGCCTTCTTCAAATTGTCTCAGAATCGATCGATAAGTCCCGCAACGTCCATTTGTCTCTCCAGCATAGGCGAGGTGTTTGGATCCATCGTTACGGACAAAACGAAGCACATGGACCGTAAGAAAAAAAACACGAAGTCGCGGCTTTGCGAGAAACGAAAGTTTCAGAGTTCACTTGTCGGGAAAATAATCGGAGAAACGTGAGCGAAAATGCAAGCAGATGTTTCGCTATTCGCGAACTAATCGTCCACCGCTTGCTTACAAATAAAAAACTGTACAATTAAAATCTAGAGATACTAAACGTTTATTTTAAGAATAATGTAACGAACGCGGAACGTGTGGTAACGAGTCTTTGTTTCGATTCCCAGGTGCGAGACAAAGGAAAAAAACATAGCGACCGTTAGAATCACTGTATCAGTTATAGTCGAGCGGCACTGTCGATGTTTTGGAACAGCTGGGCACGAGGTCACCGCAACCGTCGTTTCGCACTGTCCTCGGTTAAGAAACGCCACCTTATAAAGTACACGACACGTGTATACGTATTAAAAAACCACGGTGTCACTCCCGCACAATCGTCGCTGCAACGGGAAGAAAGAAAAGTGCATCAGAAACCCCGTGGTATCCGGCTCGACGGACCAAATGTTCGAGGGAACCGCCGCGAATTTAAATATCCAAACGGAAGGTTCCACGCGTTATGGAATAAAACGCTGGTTAAGACTAATAGGAAGCGATTTTCTTTTCCCTTTCCTCGATACGGCATATCGCAGCGCGTAACTGGCCGTAAAACCGGTCGGCAATGCGCGCGGAAAACTTTGAAAACGTTCGGCCGAACGTGAAGAACAACTTGCGTTTAGAGGAACGGAGACAGCGGGGAAAAATCTTGAGTATACGCTTGTAATGCTTATCAATGACTGATTGTGCGAGCGACGAATTTGGGGCAGATCGTGATCGATCGGAGCGTATCGGGCGCTCTCCACTCCCCGCCGCGGGGATTGAGCTACTCGATCCACCCAATCGTCCACGACGGGAAAGACTGGCAGCGCCCGTTCGACAGTCGGTCGCTCGAAATCGCTCGCGCCTCGTCTCCTCGTTTATTTGACTACAAGTGGGATACAAGTTCGTTTGGGAAAAATCACATCACATCACACACAAACATACATTCAAAATGGAAATTGTTTGTTTTAAAAAAGATATGCGAACATTAGTTATAAATAAGTCATATTTAACAAATGTAATTTTAAAAGAAATTGAATGTCGGCGGGCGCGAGACAATATTGCTGTAACAGTAAAACTTTTTTATTTATTAATTTTTTTAAATCTAACTTTTTCCGATGTATTTGTAAGATTTTTTTGTTTACAATGAGACCAAACACGGTATACATACAGCGAAACAGGAAAGTATTTGGCTATGTGTTTGTATTGTATGTTTCATGTTACCTCTTATATCAAAATTTTCTTTTTTTATAAATTGTAGAAGATGTTCGGCAACCGAAGAAAGTATGAAGTAGAAATGGGAGAAGTACACAGCAGCTTGTGCTCGAAGTAGCGGTACGTTATGTACGATACTACGATCAGTTACCAGCTGGGCCGACCTTTTTCGGCAGAATGACCGTTACGACAGTGCCGAATCCTGGGTAAGAGAGAGAGAGAATCATGAATATATTTGGCCTGCATTTGTCCATAAATCATAAATATACATTAGTCGTGCGCGCACTCAATTTGTACTGTGTGCGTGGCGCGTGCGCGGAAAACCCGGACCGACTACGATACCTGCGAACCGCATGGGAAAGCGTGCCCAACATACACACACACACACACGCACGCACGCACGCACGCACGCACGCCATATTATAAATATCATATCAGTCTTTTATTATTTACTTCTTTGAAATGATCGTAACGGACTATTCTGTATCAATTAATTGCAATGCAATATAACAACCTTAACATATACATGACGTTTCTTAACAATATAATATTGAATATATATACATATGCAAAAGTAAAATATATAAGCTCGGGCGCTTCATACTCTTAGTACGATACTGAACCACGCTGAAAGGCATTTTTAGATTATCAGCACACCAGCAGCAGGAGAGACGACACCAGCGCTGTGGTGGAGAGCGTGAAACTCAAGCCATTGTGCAAGCACATCAGTCTTCTCGATTTCATAACGACAACACCAATGTAATTTTATGAAACGAGGAAGCGTCCTTTCCGGCTGATTTTTTTTTTAAATTGTTCCTTATAAAATTCCGTTGCGGGGGATAGTTACACATTTTGCAATTTCGCTTTTCGCTTTTCAAAGGCAAAAAAATTTTTTTTTTTTCAATTTTTTCCAAAATACGCTTGACGAAACGATAGATTTACTTCCCCTGATTACGAAATGGATAATTATCATATGTTTTTTTTTATTATTGTGCCTGAAAACCGGGAAAAACTATCTAGGAGTTCACCTACTTTCCGTTGGTGGCGCCAGTTTGTCTCCTGCGCACCCTTAACTCAGGGGTAATTGTTCTCTACTGGTTGGCAACAGTGAGTCGAAACGAACTCATTTGCCAGTCTATGCCCGATCCCTATATCCTATGTTCGTGGATGTTATAGACACAATGTAAACTGCTGCCAATCAGATTTCGAAACAATTTTCTGCTTGGAATCCATTAACTTTTTGTCTGCTCAATGTAAGAGCAGCGTTTCCTTGTATTACTGTATGAAATAACAATTAATAAAATACATATCCAAGTTTTACGACTCAACAAATTTGTTTGCCCTCTAAGGGTGAGATTCTAAATCTTTGACAATCGCTCGCAAAGTTACGAAGTGAGCGTTTTATAACATCGTATACGCCATTTTGAAATCTGAGTCCCACGCAAAACGTTGTATATGTGTGGGCAAACCAGCTCTTTGCATGCTTTAAAAACCATAACATCGTAGTATCAAAATACTAAGGAAAAACAAACAATGGCAGAATACTTGGCATCAATTTTTGGTACAGAGAAAGACAAGTAAGTTTAAGTTTCCTTGTCAGCGCTTAGTTGAATTTTTTATACTAAATATCAATGCTGTTAAACTTTTTTATTTTTACAGAGTAAACTGTTCATTTTATTTTAAAATCGGTGCCTGTCGACATGGAGACCGATGCTCGCGAATTCATAACAAGCCAACATTCAGTCAGGTAAAAAAACTTTTTCTTAACCTTTTTTCTTTCTATCTGACTACTCTTTACGCTCCCTTCAGACGTTAGCTACAAGTTTTATTTCTTTAAAGAATCTGTTTGGCATCTCTTTTTTATCTTCCTTTAATAATTGTAATCAAATAGATGGTAATTATTAATTTCTTGCATGTCTTCTTCGTTATATTGTTTGGTATGTTTAAATTAGTAAATAGAATGAGCTAATGGATATATTTATTTCAGACATGCTTACTACAAAATCTTTATGTAAATCCTCAGAATTCAGCAAAAAGTGCAGATGGATCTCATTGTAAGTATAATATTAATAGCTAAATGTATATTTAGAAAAGAATCTGTAAAAAATAAGATATGATTTTAAATGGTATAGTAACTTGTACAATTATTAAATTATTGTAAAAATATTATTTTCTAGTGGTTGCCAATGTATCTGATGAAGAAATGCAAGAACATTATGACAACTTTTTTGAAGATGTCTTTGTTGAATGCGAGGACAAGTATGGTGAAATAGAGGAAATGAATGTTTGTGATAATCTTGGAGATCACTTAGTTGGAAATGTTTATATCAAGTTTCGAAGGGAAGAAGATGCAGAAAGAGCTGTAAATGATTTAAACAATAGATGGTTTGGTGGTAGACCCGTTTATGCTGAACTTTCACCAGTTACCGATTTCAGAGAAGCTTGCTGCCGTCAATATGAAATGGGGTGTGTATGAGACTCGAATTAAATTTTGTTTTTACCTTAAAATACTCATTTGAGTAGTGTTATTAAATATTCTATACTATATTTAATTTTTTTTAAATAACTTGAATATTGTTTCAGAGAATGTACTCGTTCAGGATTTTGTAACTTCATGCATTTGAAACCTATTTCACGAGAATTAAGACGGTATTTATACAGTCGAAAGAAAGGTGGAAAGGGTCGATCGAGATCTCGCTCACGATCTCGCGGTCGTGATCGCAAGCGAAGGTCGCGCTCTCGCGACAGGAGATCCAGATCCAAAGATCGTCGAAAAGGTAGAGATGATAAAGGCCGAGATGGTCGATCCGGAAGGTATTAATTTTATTAATTTCCAATTGTAATAATTCTTCATAATAAAACGATCAAATTGATCGGTTAATACGTTGATCATCTTGTCAAACAAAGTGTATTCGCTAATACATTTGAAACTTTCATTTATCACTTGTATAACAAATTTTCTGAGAATATTAATTTCTTCCCTTAAGCAATAATAAGTTGTATGCAATTAATAAAAAGGAGTATAAAAGTTGTACTTTTCTAAGAAAGAAATAAAACTTAGTGTAAACAATTGACTTTGAACTCTTATCAACTGGAGGGTTGAATATAAAATTATTTAATACATAATTGTGTTGAAGTTGATAACGTAACAAACATCACTTTTTTTTTATAGATGTTATATATTAATGTCAACATAATTATTTTTCTTTGTATTCACTCGAGTTCGTCTAAATTACTATATGGTTATAAATAGATATGCTTGAATGTAAACTGAATTATTATAATTTCCAATGCATTAATGAATCTTTATATGTGACCATTGTGACTGTATAAAATTATCACAGTATAAAAGAAATTTTGCATGTGTAATAATAAAATAAAATAACTAGAAAATTGTGTTTACTCATTTTTTAAATCCATTTGTATAAACTTTAAATGAGAAAGCTATGACATAATATGAACATACACCAGTAGTATTCGAACACAAGACAGGTAGTTTTATATATCTCACATTATATTTAACATTACTTCCAACACGAAGCAATTATTATTACAATGTGCAAGAAATTATGCTGAATGCTCCTAGTATAGTGTTGATAAAAAATATTTATTAGCAGACCAATATCAGACTAAGCTTCTATGTTTCCACCAGGCATTCGAAATATTACAAAGATTTCTCAAACTTCTTTCCCCAACCAAATAGATCTAATTGTATAGGCCAAATTACATTGTATGCTACTGGCAGAATTCATATCAATGTTTCATATTTTATTACAAACTGAAATTATCAATTTGAAATATTTACGACTTCTAGAAACACCTTATACATAGTGTAAAAGATGCACAAAATTATTAGAATATATAAAAGCCAAAAATTATTCGATAGGAAAGAAATTCAAGATTGTAGTCTCATACAACAAAACATGTGTTAATATCTTAGAAAATGAGCTTTAAAGAAACACTTTGAAAATATTTCGTATTCTCGTAAATGAATAATACAGCTATAAAAAGGAAATACATAGCTGCAAAGAAATATTTATGAAAGAATATACTTTACACAATTTAAATAAATAATCCAAATTCCTTTTATAAATAATGTTAGAATTATTATGTAGGTTGAATTGTAGATATACGTTTTAACGTTATAGCTGCATGTATAAAACTGTGATATGCGAATGTTAATGAATAACGATGTAATGGGATGCACGCAATCGCCATTTAATACAGTCGATATTATAAATCTATCTATAAACTATTGCTTCTTACTTCGAAATGACACGAATTTCTTAACAACTTCGTTAATGTCATTGTATCGATGCACATGTATACATCACAATGTGTTCGTGAATATCACGGATAAAATATATTATGTAAATGTACGTCTTTCGAATTAATCGGTTTCTTTAATGCCGACAATATTAAACGCATCCACTTGCTCTTACAATGCTTTCAATGTCCACCTCAGTAGACAATACTTAAAAACGTCTTAATAATTTTACAGGAATTAAGGTATCATATTTTGCGGACATTAAACTATAATATACAATAGACGCATTTATGTTTCTTCCTTTTTTCCAATGACTATTAACAATTACCATTACATAGTGTAAAAAGTATATTAAAGTGGTACAATTAAGTCCGACGGAAAAGACGTATTTTGTAGTTTATTCTCATCAGAATTTCTCCAAAATATACTGTATACAATATTTTACTTTACGTATAAATATATACAGTTTCATGACAGCGCACTAGGTATCATTTAATTACTCGGACATGAGATTGAGCAGTGTGCAACATTCTACTTTACACAACTCAGAAGATAAGAACTACCTTCTTTAGCATAGTTTTATTTTATTTTGATGGTAGTATAGTGCTCGTGTTATCGATTTACTTTGCGTCTAAGCACAGAGGTATAAATTGAGTAATTAATTTCATCTTTTAAGACAACTAACAGCTTCTCTGTAATGTCCTGCTCGCATCACTTGTATCGTGAAAATATTTACATTGTTTAGATTACTAATTAATGATTACGATACTCTATAGTAGGTTTAGTAGGATATGAGATCATTGTTTAGGGGGGCTAATCGGCATAAACAATGAACTGTTGGTTATCCACATCCGCAACTTCAACTTGAACAAACTGAGGTTGTTGAAGTTGTATTTGTTGTACTTGTCTCCCAATAGCGTTACGCGACCTAAATTTTAATATTTGTAATGTATTAAATAATTAATATTTATAAAAGAAATACTTACTGATATTTACAGAAGAAAAAAAAAAAATAAATTTTACTTACTTGGCTTTTGCATGTGTTAATATATGTGACTTTAAATTTGTTGATTGTGCAAATTTTTTGCTACATCCATCAAATGGACAAACGTAAGGTCTATCTCCGGTGTGAATTCTAACATGAGTACGAAGATTAAAGTCAAGACTAAACCTCTTGCCACATCCTTCAAATGTACATTGGAAAGGCTTCTCTCCCGTATGAACTAGCTGGTGCCTTTTCAATTTTGAACTTTCAACAAAAGCTTTTCCACATTCAGCGCATACATGCACTCTCGGTCCATGGGTGTGCAAATGTTTACGCATAGCACTGTTGTCTCTGAACATTTTTGTGCATCCTTTATGTGGACAGGCTATAGTACGTTCGACGCCATCTAACACAGGTGGCTTGCGTACTTTCAATTTGTGACCAGGTCTAGCAAATTCTGCCAGTTGTTTTGGATCCGAAAGGTCAAGACCTGGCATTCCATCAGAAATGGAGCTTCCAGAATGATTGAATTTGGCATTGGATTTACCAGTCATATATTCTGTGTAGTCTGGATCAGGCTCTGGATTTGAGCCTTCATCTGGAACATCCACCAGGTGAGGAGCTAATAGGACACTCCCTTTAACAATAACAAACAAGCAGTCCCAAACAAAAGCTACTGTATTTATTTTTGTTTACGAAAAATTATGTATTTTTTATGTGTTCATTAGTTAAAAAACCTTTGATGCATAATAACATAAGCATTGTTCTCCTTAATAACAAAAAGCAATGTATGTAAGTGTGTATATAACATTGCATGTAATATAAAACTAAAAAATCAACAACAAAATATACAAAGTTAATAATTGAATCATTAATTGATAATTATCAATAATTCAATATATACTCTTCATATAGAGAGAACAAAATTATTTGCATGTACATTTACATATATTCAACTGATTTAATGTGTACTACATTTACATTTTTAACTTTTTATTTACTCTTTATAAAAGTATAAATTATAGTATAGAAAATTTACACAGACATTGACAAAGTATTTCCAAAAATTTGAATTCATTTTAATATTACGTTTGAATAAAATATGTAACAGAAAAGATACGAATTAAAAGTTGCTATAATTTTGAAGAACTGAATTATTAAAAGTCAAAAATAAAGATTAGTCTACATTTTAAAAATTCGTTTCATTATAATTTATGGATTCAATTCTATTATTACATCATAGGAGTATTAGGATAAATTTACTGTATAAATCTAATCATTCCTTTATATAATAAAGAGGCACGACAAAGACGTGATCGATCGTGTATCTATACATTTATTTTTAAACGATATTGCATCTCATTTCGTAAGAGAAAATTTTCGTAAGAATTCGTAAAAGAAATAACTAAAATTAATTGAACTTTTAAGGCAAGTTTAATTTAAACGATTTCATGAATACTCGAAAAGAATTATGGATTTCACATCAAATGACGCAAGAAGTCAAAACACGCTTTATATTTGAAAGAATAGATCTAACATATTAAAAAGCTGGCCTTATAAAACAAGGAATTGGGTATTTTATTCGATAAGAATGTGGAAAAATTCGTATAGATAAAAAAGTAAAAGATTAAATAATGTAAAACATTAGGAAATGAAAGATAACGCAAGCGCAAGAATTCTGTATGTTCTGCTACGAGTATGTCTCCGCTCCGCCATTATCATGCGAGAGGATAGATCACGGTAAAAGAAGCCATTTTCAAAATATGGCTGCCCCCTGGCAGCATAATGGCGTTCCCTCGATCAAAACAAACAACACAAACTGTCAACGAAATCGTCAATAATAAAAAAAGTCGAGAACGTATCGTACAAGTACTTGGCATTCCCATAAGAAAATCACGGTATTGATTTGGAGCCCACCGGAAGTGCGTACCCACCAGTCTACACGAAGAGATACCCGTTGCAAAGATTTTCGACCAACTACTTCGGTGTGTTTCATTTAAGTTATCAAAAGGTTAGAAACAAACACGAGACTCACCATCATCAGTACCTGAAGCCCACATAGTCACCGAGAATTCGCCTTCGAGCGTCTTAATTTGCACTTGCTTCTGCTCCCACTTTCTAGCCTTCGTTTCCGAACCCATTTCCCCAAAAATCGTATGATCGGACGCTCGAAATCTCGACGCACCGCTCTTCCTGGCCTTCTTCGGACCCTTTCTCGATGGTCCAGGACTCGACTCGACATAAATATCGTTCTCTGGTACCGGGATCTGATCGTATACGCTCAAGGGATCACTGCCGACGATTTCCTCTTGCGTCTGTAGTATGATTTCTTCGCGTCCTGGCTCTGGAAGTGGTTGAAGAGCTATCATCGGTTGCCCATCCTCCCCCTCGATAGTGGTTTCCACGGTCTCGCAAGGTATTTCCACCGGTATTGTTTCTATTTCAACCTCTTGGATATCTGGTTGAATCTCCACTTCGGTTATTATGTCCGAGGACGCCATATTAATCTCCGCTGACGCCATGTTACTAATCAAAATGGCTGGCCCCCGGATACTCACGCGACAAGCGGGGCGGCAAGTTAGCTGGTCACGTGACTCGCCTCCCACCATTGCATTTGACTAAAGTGGTGTTCATTCGAAACCATTTAGAACTCAACATTTTCCTAAATTCTATTCACTTTCTTTAAAATTTTATTTTTAACTTAACACGCAAACTGTTAATTTCGATTGCAACTTGTGGTAATGTAACACCAATAACGACATTTCATGATGTATTTTGTATTTTGTAAAGTAATCGCCACTTCGATATGCTCCATATGAGAACCGTTTCGTCGTACACGTCATTCGTCACTCGGTTTCTTTTTAAAACATCGCGTTATGCCATCTTTCGGGAAACGTGAATACCATTTTCACTGGACTGCACAAGTTGAGTTTAAGTTTGTCACATCATAAATGTATTTTGTGCATTATTCATGCATTTCTCCCAACGCTTTAATTGATTACTTTAGAAGTACTCCGGTGTATCCATACAATACATAGGATTAATTAAATTATATTGCATGCACAGGTTCGAATCTATAAAATAAAAATATAGGTTATAGTAATTTGAAGTTACCTTTATCGCGATGGACTTATCGAAGATTCCGAATGACAAAAAATTATATCTTTGTAAATGGTATTTTCGTGGTAAGTAATATATATAATTAATTGTGATAATTTAATCGTTTACATAAACATTAATAAGTGTTGTGGTTATTTCATAGCTGGGTTTATTTTTCTACCGTTTCTTTGGGCTGTAAATGCAGTTTGGTTTGCAAAAGAAGCTTTTATCGTACCACATTATGAAGAACAAAAACAAATCAAAAGATGTAAGTTTTTAATAATATTATTATTATGTAAACTTATAAAATGAATCATGCTATTAATACAAGTCTAAACTGAAGATTTAATGCATTTTAGAAGAAGTAAACATAAATTCGACCTAGTGTTCTGTTTTTGATTAAATTTGTTCAAAGCATAGAATATTTATAGATGATATGGCAAATGAGTATGCATATAATATACATAGTAAACATAATTTTGTTAAATCAAATTTTCAGATGTGATATTCTCTGCAATAGGAGCAGTTTTATGGTTGGCTGGTCTTTTAGCATGGATTATTACATTTCAAATACAAAGAGCATCATGGGGTGAATTTGCAGATTCTATTAGTTACATAATTCCTATGGGTATTCCATAACAGTGTGATACAATTATCTTTATTTAATTATCGATTAGTAACTAAAGCAAACTCCAACTAAATTAGCAAATCATAGCTATCATACATTTGTCATTTTTCCTTCATTGTTTCTATTTTTAATGTTATGCCAGAGAAAGAAATTGTCTAACACTCCCACTGATGAAAAAGTAACCCACAAACAGGCTAATTTAACTGGAATTTTATTATATTTTTAATATACAAATTTAAAAAAATTATTAACTCATACAACTTAAGTAAATCACAATACTCAATATTATGAAAATACATTGTTTATTTTAGTCCACTCAAAGGAAATGTTTCTAAAACTCAATAATAAATAGGTTTTAGATAGAAGTACACAGTGCAATGTTATATATACTTTATAATATTTGAAAAAAAAAACTGAAACTGCAAATGCAGATTCGGAAAATTTATTTATTTTCATATTTATCTATTATCTGACATAAGAGAATGAAATTAAACAACTCTCCATCGTTGTCTATACACTTGTATATCTCTGTAAACTAATCTTGATAAAAACTGAAACAATAAAAATTTTGTTAAATTTAAAAATATCCATTGCTGTTTAAAACCTGAACACAGAGGATATTTACCAATAAAGCCAGCATGTCTGCAATCATAAGCATGTAAAACACATTATGCCAACCAGCCCAACGCGATACTAAACCTGCTAATAATGGACCAATGGCAGCACCAATACTACCTGTTCCATCAATGATAGCAGTAACCGTAGCTAGAGCCCTAGAACTGTTTCCTAAACTAGGATGAGTTCCAAGTTCAGCAGACACGACAGTTGTTATCAAGGCATAAGGTCCATTAACTAATAGTCCTGATATTAATAGTAACATTATGTTGATGCCTAAGCCAGAACTTCCAATGTAATCATATAGAAATAACTGCATAATAAATTATATTATGTTTATTTTATATTCTTTGTCATTTTAATAAATTAGATAGTGTAAACCACTTATAAAGTTTACAATATTTACTATTTGAGATAATACATACTGCAGGAACTGCAAATCCAAGCATAAGTGCACATGTTAATGCACTCATACCATTATAATCAGATAGAATACCAGCTGCTATTGCACCAGCGATACCACCAACATCGAATAAAATCGAAACATCTGCACTTAACGTTGCACTATAAGTGGCTGAAAAAAAAATAAAAATATGTATAACACGTTCTAATATATAATAATAATACAATAAGTACTAACTTGATGCTGCAATGTACAATGGTAACCAGTATAAGAATGTATAGCTTACAAGCTTTGCAAAGAATAAGGAAAGAGAATATTCTATGACTCCAGGTATACCCATAGCCCCTATAAATCCAATTGCATTTCCTGTATGATGTTCTTGTACACGCCTATGCCTTCCTAATATTGGACTAGTTTCAGATCGTAAACATGCCACATCCTTTGAAAGTAAATTTTTATAAATATTGATACAAGTAAAGTAGAAGATATACATTCAAAGTTTAAATTTATTTGCAAGAAATACCAAAGCAATTATATAAATATTTAAGTAATATATAGAAATACATAGTAAAAGAATAGAATACATCTTCCATTAATTTAGTTACAAAAACTGCACTATTAATTATGTAGAAAACAAAGCATGCACTTACTTCAACATCGACCTGTTCACGGTAGACACATCGATAGATGAGACGCTAAATACAGCAAATGGGTTATCTTTAGTGAGCGTGTGATATGTGCAAAGACAAAAAATAAATAAAAAAAAAATATATAAGTAAATATAAATGTTTATACAGCATACTACAGAATAATTTATATTATGAAATTAAAGAGTTAAGAGGAATATAAGAGTGAAAAGTAAACAAATGATTAACATAACTATCAGAAAAAGGAAAGATTGTGTTGATGCTGATAATATTTTCAAATGTAATAAAATCTCGACTTAACGGACAAAATTTTGCGATCGTATGCCAGTACACTTGTAAGTTATTTGCCGTTATTAATCCGCTAAATCGAGGTTTTATTGTACATTATATGATATGCAGAAAAGATCATCATAAAACTCTATTAGGGTGAAAAGTTCGTTTACATTCCAGTGCTAAATAGAGATTAATAAAATAGTGGTTATGTACATCGACCAAGACATTTCATGCTGATAGTCATACAAAAATCCTATTAATAAAAAATAGTTTTAACTTACGTCTTCAATATCATTATTACAATTTTCATAATCATCTACATCATTATCTTCATCTGAAGTGTTGTTAGCATCGAATTTTCTATATCTAGGAGGAATAGATGGAATACATCCTATATCCATAGGATTGGGTGCTAGAAATAGAAATATCATGAATCCTGTCAAACCCATTGTAGCTCCAGGTACCATAAAACTTAAACCCCAATCAGACTCCACAAACTCAGCAGCTAGTAAAGTGCCCAGAATATTTCCTAACGATGTATGAGAGTTCCATATTCCAAAAATTAAACCTCGCTTTCCTTTTCCAAACCAATTTCCAACAACCGTAACTACGCCTGGCCAACCTGACGTTTGAAAAATACCACCTGCTGCCTAAACAGAATCAATAATGAAACATATTTGTTTTAAAGAATAAATATTTGTTTGTGTGCTTACCTGAACTAGAACAAAATACCACAAACTGTGGATATTGTACGGCTTAGCAATACCAAAAAGGTAACAAGATATACCTGATGCAAGCATACCAAATGTAAGAAAATAACGTAGGTTTACCCTTTCCGCTATGAAACCACTGTACACATGAATACAAACTTATTATCAGAATAGTTTTTGAAACGTTTTCATCACAATTAAGCTCACTTTAATGGGTCACCTGAGGAACATAGCTGCTGCATATGCAAACAAAAATGCTGAGTCTAACATGCCAAGCAATGCTGGTGCCTCTGCAGTATCTGTAAACAAAATTTGTTGCATGAACATAATTTTGTTCTAATTTGATAGATGATTATTGTTGGTTGAAGTAAATATTACAGAGAATTTGTACTCACCAAATGGAGCCCAATCGCACCATGTATCTCTGTTTGTGCTATTAATTACAATATTATCTGGTGGTGATAGACTACTACAATTCAGACTCAACACATTTTTTACAACAGATATTGGTTTTCGGGTCATATGGTAACAGGTATATGCCAAATATGTAAGAGCCAAGACTCCACCTTGATGCCATGCTATTCGATTGACACGCCCATGTGGACAGCATTTGAAAATCGCACATTCTAATACTTGCAGTCCCCATGGTTCGTCTCTTAATATGTTAGTCATATTCAATAAAGTATATTTTCTCTTTTCTTTTTCTATTTAATATTGATATTGTAAGATATTGCAAAGAATAAATATATTTACTACATAAACAATATCTTGTACACTTATTTGTACTTTTTCAGTTTAATTTTTATACTTATAATCACTATATCCAATTTTGACCATATCATTTAACATTGCATGGTACATATTTTCAGTTTTATTTTAATACTTTGGGCAAAATTAACGACAATACTGTGCATCTTCTTTTTATGAATTACTAGAATTCAATAATTATTTATATTTTCATTCATAAATAATACTATTTATCAATCATAGTATGTATAAGTTCACAACTAATAGAAGACTTTTTTTTACAATACTAATAATAGGTACTACGTTATCACAATCCTGCTTCGATGAAAGACATTATGCACACTTTTTCAAACACATAGACATAACATTGATACATGTACTTTGTCTTTCTTTGTTTTCTTTATGTCACGTCTGCAATTTATTTTTTGTATCTTTTTTTCACACTGATATCTGTATTGCATTCAAAGAATTTAAACTGACAACGAAAGAATAGTTTTAGTACAAAGACTGCAAATGTTACATTAGATAAGGATCACAGTATGATTCATAACCTACAACCACCTACAACAAAGAAAACTAACACGAAACTAAACAAAGAAAGACAGTGTATTGCACATATGTTATGATACAGCATTATCAACCTTTTTTAACTGTTTTTAAAGAACCGTAAGAAATGAAACCCTATTGTAAATTTAGTGGAATGTTACTGTCTCAAGTGATAAATTATAGCACATGTACAGTAAACTCAACATATGTCAATATACTTACATATTATATATTTTTATCTCGCACATGGCTCAAATCATATAATACCGATTTCCATTCAAGGTTATTTAAATGGTTTCAGTCATATTTCCTGGAAAGATAATGGAAACAAATTTTGTTGAAAGAAATTAGCCATGAAAAATTTGAAAATAGAACGCATTAATCAAAATTACATTTTGTTAATTTTCGCTTTTAAATTTTTAGTTGTACGTCAAAGGTAACAAACTATGAAAATATCAATGAAATTTAAAAGACATATTGTAATTTCGCTTTCTTTACAATTATTTTAATAAATGAATTTTACACTAATGTTTCCATATAATTTCTGAAAAACAGTAAGTGGAATATAATAAGTCATGATTTTGTTAATTAAATTCTAATAATGTAAATCAAGGCTAAATGTGGCAATAAATATTTAATAACATAAACATGTGCATATGTATATGTTTTAATATACATATACATAATACATGTACATTACGATCTACTAAAGCCACCTAGTGAGCAACAGTGACCAATCAAGCGAGCGAATATGTAAATAATGGTCAAAAGACTGTCGAGCATTGTCAAATTTTGTTTTCATTGTAATTTTATTGTTATCAGTGCTTGTATTTTACAACTTGTGCATATAATGGTAAAGATTTAATTTATCAATTACGATGGTCGTTGATGAATATGAAATTATCGTGCAAAGTTATCCAGAAATGATACTAATTTCTGAATCTCCAGTTACATGGCAAGGTTTTTTAACAGTTTCGTGTCGATCTAATTCAGGACGAAATACTCGAGTAAAATTGAAACTAATCGTACCGAATTATCCATCGTTACACGATGCAGACATTAATTTTGGTAAAGAAATCACACTCATACGTAATATAGAGTTTAGTCAGAAGGTGAAAAATTTGATGGAAAACATAACAAAAGTGTCTTCATTTTTAAGGCAATTACAATCACTTATAGTGAGTGTAACATTTATGTAGATAACAAATTATATATATTTCATTGATAATGCTTTGTTATTTATTTTATATCTTATATTTGATGCTAAAATTAGTAACAAAAATATTTTTAAACAGAGTAGTTTTATGAACATTGCTCGCCTTGAAGATGACACATATGAAGTAACAGATAATGAAGCAGTGGAAGTAATGCAAGAATTAAAAGATGCGCTTAAGGCTCCACCAGTATGTGGTACAAGTTTTTTATCCATTGTTATTTTTAAATCTTTAGACATAGTTAAATGATATAAGCATTATAATCATATTGTTATAGGGGGTTAAATTATTATCTGATAGCAATTTAAATACAATTCAATTATCATTGAAAAATGTGTCTTTAAAATTACAAAGAACAAAGCATAGACCAAATCCCTGGAAAGTTATCTATTCAGATTTGCCTGAAATATCTGCCTTTGGACCCTTTGAAAGGAATTTGTCAACATTAATTATTGCAAAGAATAAATTCAAGTTACAAGTGGAGATACTTGAAAATACATGGTCAAATTTGAGACTGATCGATGAGTAAGCATTGTAGAGTTATTTCATTTTAACAAATATGATGTTTTAAACGTTTAATCTACAAGTTATATCACTTTTTAATGATTAGAAAGTGTTGGGTGTTGGATCCACTAAAACCAACATTTTCCCATCTTTATCGCCGAATTTACTTAACACCATCTTTATCAATGTTTATTCAAGTGGATCCCTTGAATCCTATGGACTTGCCAGAAATTAAATTTATGGGTACCGACATCGAAATTAAATTGCAAATGGACCTTCTTTCAAAGAATATACATGTATGTCGTATTCGTGAAAATATATACCTTGGCAACATTTGGTAGTTACATTTGACAGTGCAATATAATTACATAGTACATCTTTTTTCAGTATTGGAGTCCAAAACGTAATATAGTAGACAATCTAATGATGTTGTTACATATAGATACATTTCCCCCAAAAAAAGAAAAAGTATGCATAGAAGATAAAAATGCTATTGTGACTGATGAAGAATGTTGTATTTGTTTCTCTATGAAATTAGACGATGAAACTCTACCTGACAAAATATGCAGTAATCCACAATGTAGGAGACATTTTCATACACCTTGTCTATTACAAGTATGTTTTCAAATTACAAGGGAATTTTATAATCGAAGTATTAAATATTAAGATAATATTTATTAAATACTTTACATTTCAGTGGTTGCAAGCTGTTGCTAGTAATCATATTGTGTTTGGTCACATTCATGGTGCTTGTCCACACTGTCAAGAAAGTATATCGTGTTGCATTAACTCGTGAATTTATTTAAATTTTATTTCAGATAAGTTACACCGATTTTATTCAAACACATGTATATATGTATGATTCATGCATCTTGTCCACTGTTCAACAGACCTATTAAATTCATTAGTACCACATATTAAGATTAATGTTGTATTATTGATATTATCTTCAAGCATTTTAGAGATTGTTAGATTATTTAATCGACCGGATTTTATATTTATGCCATGAAGATTATAAGCATTATCTGAAACATAAAAAAACATTTTCCTACAAATATTCATTACTGTAACTTAAAATTTGTGTTATATTTCGTTGTTGCTACTTTTCCTTGAAAGTTCAGCTTCAGATTTAAAAACCATACTTCTATTTTTGTGTAACAATGTGGTGTACTAAGTATAAATTAAAGTATTATAATTTATTGGTAAGTATTTTAAGAATTGTAGATTATTTTTAAATATTTAATTGATATTGTTATCAGTATATACATGTATTCATGTTATAGGAGTAATTAATATTTTTAAAGTTGAATTTATTCAATGATACTTAGAATATATAACTTACTGCGTAATTGTGATATATATAATGTACATTTAAAATTCCAATAATCTGATAAGTCTTGTAATTCCTTTTTCAAAGGTATCTGTAATATATTCTGAAATCCTCCAATAAGATGAATCTTGGTTTCTTCGAGTTCATTGTCTACAATTGACTTTGCTATAGGATAAACTGCTGTTATTCCAGAACCCATACTAAACATAATTATGTTCTGAAAACTAACAAATGTTATTCTATTTTTTTAGTAATTTAATGTTGCACTATGAAACAAGCTGCCATAAAGATACTAGTATATAACATGTTGTGTTTTTAACATTCTTGTATATTCCAAACCTGTTACTTTTATATTTAAAATTCCCATATGGTCCTCTGATACGAATTTCATCACCTAATTTTATATTCTTTAAATACGTATTAAATTTTCCGCTGTGGTAAAGTCTAATTAAAAACTGAATGCTGTCATCTGTCCAAGAAATTGGAGTTAATGGTTTGGTTGCATCCTTTAAATGTAACATAACATGTTGTCCTGGATTAATTAATAAACTTGCATCATTTCTTGATTTGTGTTCTGTAAGTGATGGATAATTATTATTAACAATACATCTACTACATATATATACAGATGTAATTCTAAATAAATATAAAACTCATGTTTTTGTACATAATACAAGAAGTCTACCTTGATATTTCAAACAAAGTAGAATGTAACATTCGGAAACTACCGTTTTATTAATAACTACAAAGTTTTTGTATAAAAATGAGCACAGTAAATTATTTCTATTTCGTACTTTTATATTTAGTCTTTTTTTCCTTTCATATTGTTCAAGTAACTTTCTGTGTATATCAAAAATACAAGGATCACATGCATTATGACAACAATCGTCATTTGAAGGTGTTACTGGCTGACTAGTTTCGCTATCATTGGAGTTATCACTATTCATATCGTCACAACCTACTGTAGTACTACTAGCCGTGTTGAGGCAAAAATGGCAACAGTGCAGGAGTCCGGCTCAGGGCCACCAAGCTACTTTGAGTATATAGAAATGGAGGAGGAATTGCTTGGTTCTGTATAGGCCGAAAGTGTGTCCAAAGTCTGTACGAGAGAGAAAGGTATAGAGTGATATCTGTCCTCTCTGCACATGCGTCAACATCATACCTGCACTCTTTGTATACATATATCTATGTATAGAAACCCTACACTTCAGTTTTATGAATTGTTACAATAGATCATTTTAATAGAAATGTATACTCAATATACGAAATTCTCTAAATCTGTATACTGCATAAAAAAAACCAATAATATGCTTTATGTATATACACATATATTTATATTCTAATATAATGGAACTTATAATTCCTTGGCATCTGTTATTGATTTTAGCTGAGATAAATAGTAGTTGGATTCCGTAAAGATAATATGCGCATATTTTTTACAATAAACGTTACATTTATTGTGGATAATGAATGCATCTACTTTTTATAAACACAGCCCGTCAATGTAACCTATAGAATGGCATTCATAATGTATTTGATGCATGCGCAGAGAGGACAAATATCATTCTATACTGTTGCGGAACGCGTCGTGTGCGGATAGGGATTTTCTGCCGTGGGTAAAGTGCCCGTGGAGGAGCGCTGAACCGCTCTGCCTGGAGAGACGCGTGAAATAAAAATTCAAAGTACTTTTAGGGAAAAAGTAATGTCGTTTATTCAGTCGACTCGTTTGATTTAAATCTTTACGTAGTTCGTCACCAGAGGTTCGATTACGATTGAACTCTCCGGAAAAATCCTCGCTCGATCTGCTGCTTCTCTCCCTTCTCCGGAAGATTCTCGATCCTCTCTTTGGGTTGTCCTGGTCCAATCAGGGGTTGCGCCCTACTCCTTCTATCGGTGATCTTCATCGATCTGGGATCCACCCCCGAGTCGAGTGGAGGTGAGAGTCGCGCGCCCATGTTTGTGCAGGGCTATATGTGAAAAGAGAAAGCGCGGAGGTCTAGAGAGAGAAAAAACGCGCCAGCGAGACACCGCAACCCTTAAGGAAATTTATTACCCTCTTGAAGAAGTCGCCGGAAACCCGAACCGAGGTACAGCGCGAGTCTGTTATTTTCAAGGAGCTTACGAGATGGAACAACAGCTAACTCGACTCGAATTCTAAAGAAATGCATTCCAACGGAAACGGAGATTCGACACGGCCTATAATGAATCTATCATGTATTTTCAGCGAACATTCCCTTTTCTCTCCTGACTTTCGACTTTACCACGCTCGATCACTCACGTTGAATGTTTTAACAATGTATATACGTGGCGGTTCGTTGATTCAATGCGTTAATCCATTTGAATTCCGCTCCTAATTTGAATATAAATATATACTACATGCGGTAGTGTTTAAGCTATTCCGCGTTGTGGCGCTACATGCCATGAAGCTAAATTCACGTGATAGCATAACAATACCTTTCTCTTTCACACAGACTTTGGACACACTTTCGGTGCTGGCAATCCTCCTCTATGTCTATACAGGGTGTTAACAAATATGTAGGACATTTATTCAGGATCACGTCTTCATACCAGTACAAATTGAAAAATCTGTTACCATTTTGCAATCTGAGGCTTCGTTGTTGAGATATAAGCGATTGAAATTTACAGGTGGACTTCTGGCGCAGGCTGTTTAAATCTCTGTCAGTTGAACGTGCGGTCGCACATGGACGCACTCACACACGAAAAAGACACACCGATGCACGCGCACTTGTTTCATTCCTCCGACGCCGATGACACTACAGACGCTACAAGATAACAAAATACCGTTATCTTTTTAACGATTCTTTTAACCTGCAAAATATAATATTTATTTTCTTTGCTGCTTCAGTAGCTTTAAACTCTTGCTATCCGTAGTGATGTAAAAGTACTCGAGTCTTAAAATTTTCAATTATTTTACTAAAACAAAAAAAATTAAACCATTAATAAATTAATGTAACTAATAATTAAATATGAAACAGATTTTCAAAGGCTACAAAATGATATATAACACTTGCATACAAAGTAATTTTAACGACTTCAGAATATTGCATAATCTGAAACAACTTAGAAAACGGAAGAACTTTTTATTCACCCTAATAACTTTACACTTTACACCACATTTCAATCGCCTTAACGACATTCATCGAGTATCGGCAGCAACTCATCCGAATTACGATCTCTTACGAACTCGTCCGAACGAGTTACGAGTTACGAGCCGGGGGAGGTAGTAGAGCAGCTCGAGTCTTATTGTGCTCGGGCTGCTCGGGCTGCTCGGGCCGCCCGACACGTCCGGGCCGCCCGACACGTCCGGGCCGCTCGAGACTTCCCATGTCTCGAGGACCCGCTCGAGCCCCCTCGACCTTATCTTAGCCCGATTGATCGGACAGGGTCCGATTCTCGAGTCGGCCTTGCACACTCCTAATCGAAGGACATTGACGCGGCCGCCTAGTGCGTAGCCTTCGCTACCACGGCCGCTCCAACGATATACGCGCGCTCTGATTGGTCAGTGTTTTCCGTTAATATCTCCTAAGGAAAAAGTTGTTCGAAATCATCTCTCGAACCATCCCTTTCAAGGTGTTACAACATTTTTGGGACATCCTGTATGTATTCGCTTTTGTTACTTCAGCTCATTTTTCTTTTACTCTATTCAATTAAAAAAGTGATAATTTGGCTATTTATGTAGAACTTATAGAAACGAAGGGAACCACAGGTTTGGAGGTTGTTCGTTAACAAATTGCAGCAACTGTTGTAAAATGTTTATCCATTTTTATTACAAGATAAGTTGTCGAAATCTGAATTGTCAGGTACCTTTATTCATACAGATGTTACGATCCAGGGCGATAGCGATGCGCGTGTGAGCCCTACGATTGGGTTGAATTCAAGGATCGAAGAAGATACGATTAGTCCTGTTTAACTCCAAAGATTGGAGTTGAGGATTGAGGATGGAGTAGAAATCGACTCTGACGCGAAGTCAGATAGCTGCTGGGAATTGGTATCTTCCGGTAAAGGGTTACCGTAGGATCGGTATCTCCCATACTGCGCGAGCTGCTCCCGTCCGGTGTCAGCGTCATCTGTTATGCAGACGACACGCTGATTATTGTGACGGGACACATCGGGACGAGGATCATTCGTTTGGCGGAAATAGCGGTGGCCATCGTCGTCGCCAGGATCCGGGCACTGGGACTGGAGACATCGCCAAAGAAGACGGAGGTAGTCATGTTTCACGGACTGCGTCTGTCGCGGCGGGCACCCCAGGTATATATCGGCGTCTGCAAATCCTCCGCCGGAGTGGCGCCATCTCGCCGGATGGTGCGGTCGAAGAGTGGAGGCGTCGAGCCCGACGGCTCGCCCGTGAGAAGTGGCGGCGCGAACTCTATGAGAGTGGTGCCGCCCGCCACCGAGCCGTCGGGGCGGTCCTGCCAAGTCTGGACGCTTGGATGGACCGCCGGCATGGCCGGCTGTCGTAACGGCTCACGTAGGTGCTCACCGGAC